GGTAGCTCAGTTGGTTAGAACATCATCCTGATACACCAAGGTTGAGGGTTTGATCCCTGGTCAGGGCACATACAAGAAGCAACCAATGAATGCATCAATAAGTGGAACAACATATTGATCTCTCTCTCCCTCTTCCCTTCCCCTTCCCTCTCTTTCTCTCCTTCCCCTTCCCCCTCCCTCCCTCCTACTCTCTCTTCTTTCTTTTCTTGCTCTCTAAAATCAATACATTTTTTTTTTAAGTTACATGAAGAAATCCTTAAGGGTGAACAGAATTCTCTGAGCAGCTCAGGTTTCGTAAAAGATGTATATGATTGACAGATGGAAGGAGACAAAATTACATTTCTACAGTGCTAAATAAACTGTAAAACAAACATTTAAGGGTTTTCTTTTCTGTAGTCCAGAGCTCACAAGGAGCTGTGGTACTTCAGAGAGCTTTCAAGGTCATGTCTGGAGTGAGAGCAACAAGGAGGAGGGAGTAGGCTGTCAGGAGGCATGTTAATGTCAGCTGATTGTAGGCTGAAATCAGATAACATGAATGAAACCAGCAGTAAGCAATGCGACTAGCAACAAGCAGTTGATTAGACCCTTCTCACTGGCTTGATAATCTTAAACTAGCAGAATTACTCCTCCTACAGTAAAAGGTAAAACAACCCCAAACAGGAGAAAGTAAATTTTAAAAAGATTAGGACATAGTAAGAGTATCATTCACTTTAAATGAATGTTTTTAGGACTCAACTGAGTTGCCTCACAGGAGTTAAAGGGGCTCTCAGATATGATCTCAAGGTCATTATCAATGTTCTTTGTGAAATCATGGAGAATGTGGAAAGTACCAGGAGAATGAAGAGAAACAAATGACCCAGTTTCCCAAAAGACATAAAGTAGATTGTGAAAACTCAAGTCCACGTCCGTAATGTATTCCCTCCCTCCCTCCCTTCCTTCCTTTCTTTCTTTTTCAATTTACTTTCAATATTATTTTGTATTAGTTTCAAGTGTACAGCATAGTGGTTAGACAATCATATACTTTACAAAGTGTTCTTGATATTTTCAGTCCCCACCTGGCACCATATATATATATATTGCAATGTTATTGACTTTATTCCTTGTGCTGCACTGCACACCCCTATGACTGTTATGTAACTACCAGTTTGTTCTCAATCCCTTCACCTTTGTCACCCAGTCCCCATCCCCCTTCCCCTATGGCAGCCACGGTGTCTATGAGCCTGCCTCAGTTTTGTTTGTTTGTTCTTTAGATTCCACATGTAAGTGAAATCATCTGGTGTTTGTCTTTCTCTGCACTTCCTTAACATTAAACTGGGGAAAATTTTAAAGAGATCGTTTTTTAGAAACTACAATATTGTAAGTGTTTAGAAAAGAATGGGGTGATCACCGTGAATCAGTGTGAATTTATAAGAAAACATGTCAAACAGACCTCGTTTTTTTTTAATTTTATAATTACTGGGTTAGAGAATACTACTAGAGACATGTCATATCTTGACTTTAACAAGTGGTTAGCAAAGTTTCCTGAACTACTCTTATGGCAAAGACAATGGCACGTTGGCATTTAGGCTGATCCACAGTTGCTCGAATGGCCACAACTGTGCCAGCAGGCCGTGGGGTCACCTAAATATTAGTCATCAGTGGCTCCATACATGGCTTCCTCAGAGGACGGGGAGTAAGTATTAATGAGCATAGATTCAGAGTGTGAGTTGGCAGTTGGGACTGTTTTTGACGAAAGATTTATGTATTGGAACCTGAGTGCCTGAACTTATTTCTATGATTGAAATTTCAGGCATGGACCTTTCCCCACCTGAACTGTAGTTGTAAGATACATGGATCTGTTTTTAAGTTTCATAAATCGTCCCGACTCATAAATCACTTAGAAGTCAGAGAATAATCTCAACACTTAAAGCGAAGGCTGCTGGGTGAGAATGCTGTTCTGGGGAATCTTTGTTTCCCGTGCTTTTAAACAACAACTATATTAACCCCAGGGAGATAGGTAGGTGCACTCCATGACCTTGGTATGTCAAGTTTCTGTGGAAGTCTCCCAAAACAAAGGCATAGTTTCATAAACAACGTGATCCTAGAGACTCCTCTGCAGGGGCTGTGAATTAATGATCCTGTTGGCCCTCTAGTAGTTTTAATTTTATTTACGTCTGCCTGTGCGAGATAGTTGGGCTTAAAATTTTCCTAACGTCATATCAGAGAGGGGACAATAACATTCTGTCCCCTCATGAAAATTCTTTTGGTTTCCTGAGACAAGGAAGTCCATGATGATTGCTGTAGCTAATATAGTTTATTATTAATTATTAGTCTTAAAGAATACCAACTCATAAAATTTGGTAGCCTTTTATAATTGACTCTTCATTGATATTTGTAATATTTTTCTCCAACCTCAAGAAAGTACGATCATGTTTTCTGAGTAGTCGCATGTTTTAAATAAAACATCGCATTGATGAGCTTGTCCCTCACCCTTTTCTTTGCAACTGTTTGTCCCCGTGTTGCATCCAGACACACAGGTGAAGGTGAAGGTGGGATTGGTTTTCCAGCCCCGACAACTCTGGTATGCTTCAAATCCAGCTCCTTGCTGTGGCCGCCTCTCAGTCTGCAGATCGCGTAGGCCCTTGAAACAGGACCGGAGTTGTTTCAGCTTCATTTCCTCTTAAGAGATCCTCTCATGCTTTGTGCTCTGTGATTTTTATTATGACTTTGACTTTAATTAAATCTTATTTAATGACTGTTATTTTTAGAGATTAAAATTCAGTCTAGTTTCTTAGGGTTACCTGTGTGAGTTATATAACATCTTCTACTAAAACTTCAAATTAAAAAACGAAAAAGAAAGTCTTAAAAAATGTTGAATCACATTGTCTTTTTTCATTGTGCAGGCATTACCTTTTATCCAAATTAAACTGATTCCTGAAAATATGTTGTATAGAAGACTTTTAAATATGGGAGGCTTATGTAATACTTTTTTAAAATGTGGAAAAAATGTATTCTTTGTCTATTCAGAAACCCTAAACAGACTTCCACAAACATCACTAAAACATTTTTAAGCACCTATATAACAATCTGTTGAAGTTTTTATATAGTATTTTTCACAAAGCAGTTGACAAATCCCTGGCCTAACTTTTAAAATACTTTATAAACCCATTATTGGGTATGTTTTTGTTCAGTAAGCAATGAGACTGTGCAGTATTGATTATGAATTAGCGTTTTCTTCTACCCGGCAACAAACAAGTGCTATAATATAAATAAGTAATGAAATAATGTGATTCCATTTAGATTGGACTCCGGTTGCTGGTGGCCCCAAATGCCTGGTAGAAGCACCTTGTGGGATTCGGGAATCTCCCGTATTCTCCCTGTGAAGATCTTTCAGATTTTCTTCTTTCATCATGAAAGTTCCCAGCTTCCTCAGTGTCTATTTTTGGCAAAACCAGGGCTTTTTGGTTTGTGTGCATTAGTTTAGGATCTTAATATTATCTCTGACTTTAGAAGGACTCTGATTTCCTTCTTTATAATAGTTACACCCTCTCATACGGGTTATGTTTATTTATATACACTTGTGAGAAAAGATCAAAAGAAGGGATTAGAAGTGTTCTATTAAGGGATAATAGTTAAAAGAATGAATTGATCTGTAGTAACCTTTTGATTCATCTAACCTTGTCATACTGTGCTGTTGAAATAAAACAAAGTGCATGTTGATCAACTAGGTATTTCTCGTTCAGTAAGAGAATCTCTGCTGCCTGGGCATGGCTCTTTTCCAATGAGATGAAGTCTCATCTCCTGAACAGTGTTTGGATTGCTCTGGGATTCGTTTTAAGTTCAGCCCTTACTACAAACTCATTGCTATCAGATTCCTTCAGTCCCCTCTTCTTCTCCTTCATATTTCCTGGAGACCCCCTCCCAATCTTCCTTTCATCTCCCATTTCCCCCCAAAATATGGGAAGAATCTTTCACTCCTTTATTATTCATGTTGTATCAAGGAGGCAAGTAATGGACAGAAAATGCCTGTTTAATTTAGGGATAGACAGAAGACTCTGAGTTAGGGCCCATCTGGCCTTTTCGAAGCTCAGGAAGCTGGTCATTGCAGCTGGAGCATATCTGAGTGGGGTAAAGAGTGAACAAGTTTAGGCAGAGGTGGCCAGTGCCAGGAGTCTGGGTTTTATTCCAAGTGCAAGAAGAAGCCAGTGGGTGGCTCTCAACAAAGTCGTGGTTGTTGATTTACATTTTAAATTTCACTCTGGCTTCTGTGTGAACGGGTGGGAGCAGGAGGGAAGCAGGAAGGGATGCAGGGAGGCCAGTGAGAAGGCTGTTGGCAAATCCCAGATGAGGGATGGTGTGGCCGGACTGGGGTGGGGGAGTGGAGAGGGGGAGACGTGGACAGTGTGGGAGATGATTTGGAGGGAGAATGGACAGAGGTCGCTAATGGGTTGGGTTTGGAGGGCAGAGGTGAAAAGCAGAACTCAAGGCTGACTTCCAGCTTTGGGGTTTGTCCTACTGGGTTGCTGCTGCCGCTGTTACCGTCCTCTAAGACAGGGAAAACCAGGGGGAGGAAGACTTGCGTGGGGTATGGAACTGAGTTGCAGCTGTCTGAAATTTGGAGTGTTTATTTGACATCCAGGTATATCTGTAATGTGTATGAACAAGTCTGATGACTTGGGAGCTTGGTGGCGATAGGTCAGGGATAGAGACGTGGTGAGAATTTGGAAGATACCAGTATATAAATAGTATTTAAAGCAATGAGACTGAGCGAAATTACCTTGTACATTTGTCGTTTTCTCTGATGTAAACCATCTCCCTCCCCTACCTCGTACAATTCCGCCCATTCCATGTGTGTATTTTAATTATAGTGTCTAATAACTTAGTGTTAATCTTGTTTTCAGTAAAATATTGTGATTTCTTCTCACTGCTTCTTCTCTTTTTATCGTATTCGATCACCAGCATCTGTATTTAACTGGAGATCTAACAGCTGCGTGTTTTGTCTCCTGTCGTTTTCTTCGCAGGCAAAGTCATTAATAAAGATTTGCGACATTACCTGAGCCTTCAGTTTCAGAAAGGATCGATCGACCACAAACTGCAGCAAGTGATCAGAGACAACCTCTACTTGAGAACCATCCCGTGTAAGTAGGAGACAGGCCAGAAGAAATGAGGCCTGAGCATCCTTGTGTAGCAAACCGAGTATCTAGAAATAATTCAGCAGTGTCTTCCATGAAATTGTGGACACTGAGTTGGGGCACTAGAATGCAACAGAAGGAGGATGAGGAGAGAGTGTTTCAGGAGACATTCAGGGGGGTTGTTTTTCAAAGCAGAACAACTAGGAGATTCTACACGGCGGCTTTTTAAACAGTCACTGGACTTGAAGGACGGAAGTCTACCTATGTGCGTGCGGCTACTAGAATTTATTCATATAAATCCCTTTCTACAGCCTCTGCAGGGGAGAGACGCCTTTGTCCTCAGTGCTTTGGGCACTGAGACCTTTTTGTATTAATTATCAGGACATTCCCGATTTTAAAGTCTGCCCATTCCCCAGAGGAGAAAAAAGAAAAAAGAAAAACGCGGTACCTTTGTTTTGATAATCCATTTTGAATTTCTACGTTGATGTGGTATTTCTGTCCCCATCTTAACAGTTTTCATAGGGCCTCATGGTTGTTGTAATGGTGCTTTGGTTTTTTAGAAGGAAAAACACATAACGAGATCACCTGTGCTTAAGTGTTAGCTTTGCTTAGTGCAGGTCTGGGGAGGAATAAAAGGCAGTAAACGATAAAAGGGCATAAGAAGACATGCAGTTTCCCTTTCAGTATATTTAACTCCTCGCGGATGCCAGCTTCTATAATGGCTCTGAAACACTCGGCTTCTTTTTCCTGCTATTTAATTTCACACAGTGTCCAGGCCCTTACCAAGCTTTTCTAATTATGCTTCTTAACTTGCTAACGCTCTGCACTGCCTTAGCCGCTCACCCTTTCTTGCTTAGAATTAAAAAAGAAATAGCATTATGTAGCGGCAAAGAGCTAGATAAAACTGAGTTCGAAATCCTGATTCTAGCATCGTCCCAGTTGCCTCACTTGGGGGAGTTACGTAATCTTCCTGAGCCTCAGAATCTCCGTGTCAAAATGTGAATAAGAAGACTCAACTCATACAGTTGTTACTAGAATTAAAGTAAGAACATGAACGTAAGCCCCTTGGCCTAGCATAGGCACTCAAGTGGTGTTTGTCCCCTCCCCCACTTCTAACTGTGTCCTGACCTCCCATGCCACCTCCATCTAGTCTGTCTAGAGTCCTTAATGTGGTGTGAAGTGTTTTGGGTTTGTTTTTAAACCCGACTCCTTGACTGTGATTGCCTCCTGTAAATCGGCTGTCAGGTTTCAGACAGGGAACTCCTGCACTCTTTCCTTAGCACTTGGCTTTGTCCATCTTTGTATTCTTGAACTTGCTGACTCTCTCTGTTTTAGGAATAGTGTTAGACTTGGGAGCCAGTGTGGCACTTTCTATTTCTTCATAGATCAATATCCTTAGTCTGTTTTTTCAGGGTTTTTTTGTTTTTCCCAGGTACAAAGCTTTTGTATAAAAAGCCTTTCACTAAATTGTCGATTGCATTCGAGCTCTCTCCTTTTAGGAAGGTTTGTGTCTTTATTCTAATGGCTACCTTTGTATAAAACCCTGTTCCTCCTCCCTGCCATTTATTCTGGTCCCTACTGTGAACAATGGCAAACTGTCTTATCATCTCTTCTTCCCCCTTTCTTGCTCCTCACCCATCATCTGACTTGAAGTGGTATCTTTGTTACTCCCAATAAACGTAAGGTAATCAGCAAGCTTATTGTACTTTAGTTTTTCTTTTTTAAAATATATTTTATTGATTATGCTATTACTGTTGTCCCAATTTTTTCCCCTTTGACCCCCACTCCACGTGGTACACTCTTCCCACCAGCAATCCCCCACCTTAGTTCATGTCCATGGATCACGCATGTAACTTTGTTGGCTTCTCCATTTCCCATACTATACTTAACATTCCCTGCCTGTTTTTTACCTACCATTTTACCTGTTTTTTTTTTACCTTGCCTGTTTTTTATGCTCCTTATTCCCTGTACCTTTTCCCCTGTTCTCCCCCTCCCCACTGATAACTCTTCATGTGATCTCCATTTCTTTGATTCTGTTTCTATTCTAGTTGTTTGCTCAGTTTGTTTTTTGGTTTTGTTTGATTTAGCTGTTGATAGTTGTTGTCACTTTACTGTTCATAGTTTTGATCTTCATTTTCTTAGATTAAGTTCCTTTAACATTTCATATAATAATGGCTTGGTGATGATGAACTCCTTTAACTGTACCTTGTCTGGGAAGTGCTTTATCTACCCTTCTATTCTAAATGATAGCTTTGCTGGATAGATTAATCTTGGTTGTAGGTCCTTGCTTTTTATCACTTTGAATACTTCTTACCAGTCCCTTCTTACCTTCAAATTTCTTTTAGAGATCAGCTGACAGTCTTATGGGAACTCCTGTGTAGGTAACTGTCTCCTTTTCTCTTGCTGCTTTTAAGATTCCCTCATCTTTTACCTTTGGCATTTTAAGTATGATGTGTCTTGGTGTGGTCCTCTTTGGGTTCATCTTGTCTGGGACTCTCTCTGTTTCCTAGACTTACATGTCTATTTCCTTCAAGTTAGGGAAGTTTTCTTTCATTATTTTTTCAAATAAGTTTTCAGTTTTTTGCTCTTCCTCTTCTCCTTCTGACACCCCTCTGATTCAGATGTCAGCACTTTTGGAGATGTCCCGGTGTCATCTTAGTCTCTCCACAGTTTTTTGAATTCTTGTTTCTTCGTTCTCTACTAGTTGACTGTTTATTTCTTCCTTATGTTCCAAATTGTTGATTTGAACCCCAGCATCCTTCCCTTCTCCATTGGTTACCTGTGGATTTTTCTTTATTTCACTTAGTGCAGCCTTCGTTTCATCCCTTGTGTGTTTGCCACACTCAGCGAGTTCTCTGAGCATCCTTATCACCAGTGTTTTGCACTCTGCATCTGACAGGTTGGCTATCTCCATTTCACTTAGTTCTTTTTCTGGTGTTTTGATCTGTTCTCTCATTTGGGCAATATTTATTTGTCTCCTCAATTTGGCAGCCTCCCCGTGTTTGTTTCTGTGTATTAGGTGGGGCTGTTTAATTCCCTGTCTCAGCCTACCTGTGATGTTGTGAGGGGTGGAGCCTTAGGTTTTCACTGAGATGGGGCAACCATATGTGGGGGAGGAGTTGGAGAGGGAACAATGCCACTTGCTAAGCCCTCCCCCGTCCCCAGTCACTTCACCTACTTCCCATATGCATTTGGTGTCTCTCTAGCTGTGCCCTGGTGGTGATTCCAGAGTAGATGTGTTTGTGTACATTCCAGGACCCTGGGGGCCCTTGAAATGGACTTTCTTGAGAGACCATCAGTTTCTTCTACTGCCCCAACCCCCACTGGTATTTACACCCAGAAGTCATGAGGCTTCATTTCCCAGCGCTGGAACCCTGGGCTGCAAGGTCTGGCCTGGGACTGGGATTGCTTGTTCCCCAGGCACCCCTCCCAGTTTTTATCCACCATACACGTGAGATAACGTGGGACCACCCTGTACTGCCACTGCCTCGCTGCCTCACCACTGCCACAACACGTCCTCTCTGTCCCAGCTCCTCCTCCCCAGCTACCAGTCTAAGTGAACATTTCTTCTTTAAATCCTTAGCTGTCAGATTCGCACGCAGTTTGATTTTCTGGCAGTTCTGGTTGTTTTTTTTGCTTTGAGGTAGTTGTGCTCCTTGGGGTTGTGTGAGGAGGCAAAGCTTATCTACCTATACCTCCATCTTGGCCGGAAGTCTTACTGTGCTTTCATATGCTGCCCTCATTCTGACCATCCTTTTGATGCTTGAGTCTTGGCTATATTGGCAAAGCGGACGGCCATTAAATCCTGCACTGTCCCATCTACTCATCTTCAAGTAGATGATGACGTTCATTCTTCATACGCTGGGTAATTTAATCTAACCGCCAGCCTCACCTCATTGTTTCTTCAAGGATGGTGGTAGTCTAATGCTTGTTCTCTACTCGACTGTCTAGAAAGGGCTCACAGATCACCTTAGCAGTTCGCCTGTGGGTTTTATACTTTAAAAGTTGGACAGCTATGAAATCTTGGGCTCATATTTTTTTTTCTTGTCTATCTTAATTCTATTAGTCAATTATTGAGTTGTCTTCTGCGGTAAGCATCGCTCTTAAAAAGTCTGAAATAATCTGATACTCATTTTCTTGCAAGGAACTTGGTGTCTTGCCTACGTGGGGTGTCTTGGGGTAGCATCTCTAGTTCCTTAGCTCTAGAGCTCTCTCACCCTTGTTAACACAGCCTATAAAAATGTGTGTGTACCTTCTGCCGCCTTCTGCCACTTCTCCTGGGATCTCTTCTTAATTCACGTCTCCTGGCCTACTTTTGCAGTTTCTCTGCAGTGGGAGGCTTTGTCCTGGGAAGCAGCCACACTTTCTGTAGTTTAATCCACACGGTCTAAGCAGCTGCAGACTTTAAGACCCTAACAGGGTCCCTTCACCGAAAGGTCCGCAACCCCTCCTGGTCTCTGAATAGTGTTCTTCCCTGGAAGATACCAGATCTTCTTGGAGAAAATTCTCACCCCAGGCCTGGGGCAAGGGAAGTATTGTACAAGCTGAGCTTGGAACATCTAATTGTACCAGAAAATATGTAAATGCTTAAAAATTATGGGGACATATCAGAGGGACTTAAAAAAAAAGCCACCTAGAAGTTTTCCACTGACAAAGATCCGAGGTACCTGGAGCAACCAAGTTAATGAGAGAGCAAGAGAATGAACACGACAGTTGTGAGATGTCACACTGCAGACAGAATGTGACTGTGGTCCCCAAGAGAAGGGGGGAGGAGCCCACACACAACTTTCTGCCTGGATGCACTTCCTGGGCCACGGCCTAGGCAGAGCCTGGGCAGGCAGAGCAGACTCGGGTTGAGTGGACAGAAACCTGAGGCCAAGAGGTCTGAGGTGTCTGGAACCGACAGGACAGGTATTGGAAGGCAGAGAGCTCAAGCAGTCTGCATAAGCGCCCCTTGAGTCGGTAGCTGCATGCAAGGCTGAGACTGTCGCATGAGACTCCATGTG